AAAAGTTTTTTTTTTTTTTTTTTTTTTTGTGTGTGTGTGTGTGTTAGTGTGTTGTTTGTTTATTTTTATTTTGTTTTGTTTTCTTTTTTTTTTTTTTTTTTTCCCTTAATGTTCTGAACAAGACCTGTTTGTGCTATAAATGTGCTGGAGCACCCTAAGCTCACAGGTGTCTGATGCTGTACGTTTTTACATCCTTAAGTATATTTCGTGACTAGGAGAAAATGTTGACGTGGTGAGGAAAATGAGGAAAATTGAACCATAGTAATCTTTAATTCAGATGATGTCAAGTTTCATTGTTCTGTGATTTTTTTTTCAGATGTCTTTGCTCAGAATTGACAATATCAATGATAAGGAGTTGGTTCTGCTCCATCACATGTGCCTTTCTTCTCTTTCTCTTTTTTTTTGGTAGCATAGTTTCAAGCTTTCTTTCAACCTTTTCTTTTCAAAGGTTTCAACCTTTCCTTCCTCCAGCATCCTGCTTTCACCTCCCTCACTTTCCAGCCTCACAGCATACATCTGTGCATGGCATGGTAGTCCCACTGCCTTCTCCACTTCTCTTCCCTTTCAAATGGTCACCCTTTGCCCTCCTGCCTCCACCTTGCCAAGAGTAACGTTCCCTGCCCAGTTTCACTTATTTTTTTCAGAAGCTTACGGTCTGTTACCAATGGCATTTCTGCAGCAGACATCATGGAAAAACAGGCTGGGGAAGGAGTGAAAGAGTTTATCTGACTCTTCTGAGCAGTGAGCTATTGGAAGAAAGAGAATACTGAGAAAAAGCACAGATTTCCATAAAGTTGAGTGAGTCAGGTTTTTTTCTTTATATTCCCTTGATTTTCCAGCTAAGCTAAAAGAAAAAAAAAATCATTCAAAGTCAGGGTAAAACAGTTGTATCTACAAAATACCAGCAGCCTCTATTAACTACTTATAATAAATGCTTCAATATTTTGATTCTGAAGCACAAATGGTGCCAGGTGCTTATGATTACAAAGCACTGGAGTATTTCAGGCACCATCTCTTTGAAGCAGTAGCATCTTGATGATTTACTGTAATTAAAAAGAAAAAAAAATCCATGCAAAAAACAACAGCGTTATATGATGTTCTTATATTGTATGATGCTCTTAAAAGAAAAAGATATGACTGAACAGTGCTGTCAGGCTACTAAAATACCTACAAACTCCACTGAAGTAGGGCAACAATGATAAGAAGTAACAACATACCGCTTGTGGAGATAAAGATTATAGAAATTTTTAGTTCATTTCTGCACAGAGGTTATAGATTCTGGAAAAAGAATACATAAGAAAAAGAAAATACAGATCAAGAAAAGAGGAACTTGACCATTCATATTTATTACAAAAATAGCTGTGCTGTACAAAACAGAAAAGAGAGTCAGAGGTCAGGTAACTGTCAATGAACCTGATAGGTTTTTTATGACCCAGAAGTGCTCTGAGGGACATTAAATTGGTTAAGGCTGACGTTTGGCTGCTTAATGAGAGGCAAACTATTATATCTGTTCAGCTTCAGACTTCTCTCAAAACGTAAAAATGATAACTTTTTTTTACCCAAAGGGCTAGGTACAAGGCTTTAAAAAAAATGAAGTGTGAAGATTGTATTAAAGTCTATTATATTTTAAAAATATGAAAAAATAAAGTAAAGAAAATGATATTATTTGCTGCAGCAGAAATGAAAAAGGAAAGGAAGAGAATCATAAAACCGGATTGATGATAAATGATAGAAATAACAAACCAAGTCAAAGGCACCTTGTTCCTTCCTGGAACCTCTCCAGCTTTACAGATAACTAACTTTCATCTGAGATACTCAAGCAGTGCTTTGTGTTTTTTTGTTTGTTTTTATTTTTTTTTATATTCTACCCCATGATCTGATGATGTCTCTGTCAGATTTTAGTTCTGCATTATTTTGTAATTTCAGTCATATATTTTTATGATTTCTCTGTATGGTTTCTTTGTAAGGTACATGTGATTTCTATTTATCATTTGTCTATTTCTCTCTATCAATGTATATGTTATAGATAGAAATTAACTACACATATATAAGTATATAGATATAATTTGTATGTATGTATGTAATTTGTACTAATTTCCCCTGTTATCTGTTTTATCTGAATCTCTTGCCCTAGTTCTTCAGGCAATTCCTGGGCCACTGTTTCACACAAGTTACCTTTGAACGGATGCTTAGGTAGATGACAGAGTAGCTTTTCCTTAACCAAGTAGACATTGTGATGTTTTTGCACGTATGAAGTATATAGTGGTGGTTGTAGGCAGATGAAAAATTTTGTCTTTCATATTTGCACAATGTGATTTATACACTACTATTTATTTTTTGTTACTCCTTGCTCAAGAGACAGGCAATTTGGTCCAAAAACTCCCGAGTAACCTTTCAGTCTAATTCCAGAGAGGTGAGTGCCTAATTGCCAAGCTGTCTTTTTAAAAACATCTTTCTGTTTTTATATGCAAAGCAAACAAACAAAAAACAACAGCAGCAGCAAAAACAAACAAACAAACAAAACAAAAAGAAAACAAAACAAAAAACTCTTTTTTCATTATGCTATAAATATAGTAATCCCTTGGAGGTCTTTGAAAATGATGAGGTTTTAAGGATGAAGTACACTGTGAACTCAGAAGTGACAGATGAATAATTGATTTATGGGGTAGTCATTGGTACAAGTCTGTGAACTTTCTGAAGGGCAGCGTCAAGAAAAGCGGGCACTATGACTTTGGCCACCTGCTTCAGAGAATGCATGCTGTGATTAGCAATCAGCTCTCCATGTGGACTAGTCCAAATGAAGTTTGGTGATTTTAGAAGTAGGCTTGCTGTGAGGTTGTGTTCTTGAGTGACAGAAATAAAATAGGACTTACGGCATAAGCAAAATGTATTGCTTGCCATTTCTACCATCATCTGCCATTGATCTATTGGGGAGACCTTTGGCTAATTAATTTTTTGAGAAGTTGTAGCTCCTATGTGGGGAAGAGGATTATAATTAATTTTAGGAACAAGTCAGAGTTGTTATGCCCCAAACTTATTTTCAGTTTCATTTTATTACACTTCAAAACCAAAATCCACAGAATGCTAAATAAATTTAAACTCAAATTGTTAACAAAAAGGGCAATATTTCATCTCTTAAAAAGCCTTCAGGATATTCCGCTTTTGAAATTGATAAACATTAACAAAGAAAGAAAGGTTAGTCCTCAGTATGTTGCAGTTACATAAGTTACTTTAAAATAGACACATTTCAAATAAAACTTTTCCCTTACAAACCTGAACTGAAATGAGAAATCTTTTGCCTAAGAGTTACCTATTCTGTCGAGTGTTTTCATTCTTGAGTGTGGTTTGGTTTTACACCAGTTTTGCCCAAATGAGTCTCTCTGATCTTTATTTTTTTCATGGCAAAACCGCATATTTAATGTACTGAAGTATTTGAAAAATTAATATTATTTGTTCACATTGTTTTTTGACTCAGCTATTTTAGCCTATGTGTTAAATACTAACAAAAGGACCCTGACAAAAGTTTTGCAACTTGGGTCTGACACAGTAGAAAATGCACACAGATTACAGGAATGTATTTTGGGCTCACAATTATAGAAGTATTTGATAGGGTATTTAGCACATGCTGTGTGATTCCTCTGACTTCGAGAGAAGCTCAGTGGTAATGAAGAGCACTCCAGTTATGTATGAAATGTTAATTACATTGAAAGCCTTAGCCTCTGAACTGATTTTTTTTTTCTATTACTCCTAAATGGCTTGAAGGCAAACGGTGAAAACAGTGATGTTTTTTATTGTTTCTCTGAGGTCTAGAAACTGTGTGGGAATCATAGAGACAGCATTCATCCATCTTCTGTTTTTATTTTTCCTATTCCTATTTCATTTCTTGTTGCATTCTGTAAACATCCATATGCTATAACAAAATGGAGTATTTGAGTAGCCATTCAGTAATAGGGGTAATATCTGACATTGCTTTTTATCGTTACTTTTTTTGCCTTTATTGGAAGGGGAAATTAGAGTGAAGAGGCTTGTTTTGTTAGCACTTTTTGATTTGCTGGCTTTTTCTGGCAGACATTGTGATTTATGTGTCTGTGGTCTGTAATGCGTAGGTGGTGGCAATTCAAGGGAATGAGCCTTGCAGTTGGAATATGGTTTGTACTATCTCATCTGTAAGAAAGGAATTCCTTCTGTTGCCTTGGTCCTAGTCTTAGGAAACTGATGCATTTTCCATGCTGAAAACAGTTTTCTGATTGAAATAACAATTGTGTCTGAAGTGTGGAGTTGTTAGTCATAGGCTCATGCGATTTTTTAGCATATTTATTTTTTCTCATTCTGTTAAGGATTATGACAAAGTAAACCTTCAGTAGTAGTTTTTGGTTTATATGTAATCTGCATTTTGAAATGGAGAATGGAAAAATGTGAATTGAACTTTTTTTTCCAGTGAATCATCTTAACTTGAGAAATAAGTTGAACTAATAGTTGTGTGGAGTATTTTGGAACACATTCAAAAAAGTTGGTGTAAATTTACTTGGAGAGTATTCCTAAGGTCAAATGGCGTTGTCCCCACAGATATGTATTTCCTAGTTCTCTATTTGCATTTCTGTCTGTGTATATGACAGATGAATTAGTTGTGAAATTGCATGTGTTATGCATGCATCATGTCCTGGTATTTTTTTTTCTCTCTAAGTATTGTATAATGGAAACTTCACACGTGTGGTTAAATTACATTTCAAGTAATAGGGGTTATATTTGTTTCTTAGAAATTTCAGAGTTTTACAGTTAAGAAAACATGGAAAAATACCATTTTCACAATGAATTTATAAATATACTTTATGAAAGCCAGAAGGTCCTTTCCACCCAACATTTTTCCATTTTGCTATTTCTGGATAATCTCATCAACTGGGGATTATCTTCTCTTATGGGCTCTATCAATAAAAAGCAACATCTAGTTTAAAGGAGATATAAAGCACTATTTATTGAAAAATGGTTTTGCATTTAAGCAGGGTTAGGTACCTAGACTGCTCCTGTCAGATTCACAGATCTGAAAATGTGAATGAAAGTACATCTTCTGCATTTGTGACCTTCAGCAAGAGCAAAAGTAAACTGAAGGTAAGTAGAAATCTTTCTCAGGTCCATTATGCATAAATGCTGAAGGTATGTGACACCAAAAGAAACGTTTCCTGCTGATAAATGTTTAGAGTTGTATCAGGAATAAAATGTTTGCTGCATTATTGACTTCTTTGAACAACAGAAATGAGAAATACATGACTGGATAGGCCCTCGTAGGTCACAGAATCCTGTTCCTTTCTCTGCTGCACACAATTATGTTATAAACTAGTTAGCTGTATTTTTAAGACCCCCAATTTTGAGTCATAGCACATCTTTCTCTCTTTAAAGGTAAACAGCTTAGTGACATTTCAAAGGTGGCATGCTCTAGCAAAAATACCCTGGAAGCAGATGAGTATACTTGTACAGTACAACATCTCCTCCTTCCCCCGAGCACATGAGAGATTGCATGCTTCTTTGGAGAATTAAATATGCTTTGATGCCCCAGAAACAGCATGAAGGGGACCAGATTCTGCCAGATGAAACAGAAGTGTATGGAACATGTAAGCATGAAAGGCAAGCTGTATAAAAATACTGTAAAAAACACGCTTTTTTTTTTCCTCTCTGATAACTGAAATGTAAGTTTCTGAATTTGCAGCTGAGCTTCTCTAATATATGCTGGTGTATTTGGTTTACATGGCAAGGTTTTGGTAGCAGGGAGGCTGCAGGGGTGGCCTCTGTGAGAAGAGCTCATCGCCTACCCCATGTTAGATAAGGGACAGGGACCCCACATGGAGCAGGAGCAGAGTGATTGTGAAGGAGTGGTGGAGATGAAGCCTCAGGGACTGACCGCAGCCCCCATTTCCCGTTCCCCTGCGCTGCTCAGGGTGAGGAGGTAGAAGGGGATGGATGGAGGGAAGGTGTCTTTAGTTTGTTTTTAGTTTGTCACTGCTCTAGCTTGTTAATAGTCAATGAATTATATTAATCTTCCTGTGCTGAGTTTGTTTTGCCCATGGCCATTGGCGAGTGATCTCCATATCCATTCTATTTTCTCCCCCTTTTCCTTTGAGGAGGGGGAGTGAGAGAGTGGTTGTGGTGGAGTTCAGATGCCCAGCTGGGTAAAACCACCACAGCTGGTGACAAAATGTTGGTCTCTGTGTAAAGATGTACTGAATTGAAATGCTGTGGGTATTTTTATGACCAGATGGTCTTGCTAGCAGAGCTCACAGCTGCAGTTAAGTTCAGCAGTTTATGGAATGAAGTAACTTGCTAGTGCTTTAGAGACCTGTGCTTAAGAGACCAGAAGGGAGTGATAAAAAAATATAAAATCTCACTAACATGTTACTGTTTTATTATGTTTATGTTAATGCCTACCTTTACAGAACAATCAGTTCCTATGCTCTCTATTACTATGTTATGTTCTTATGATTCCTGTAGGATCTCATTACATAGTGTGCAACAGCTGAACATGTTCCACTTCCATGTGAGTCTTCCTAGAAATGGAAATACTTGTTTGCTTCTTGTGGAACCACATCAAGTTCCTTGTGTACTCCAGACTGAGGTCTTTTGCTAATTCCATTGCCTTTCTGATGATTGTTGCTTCTGATGGTTGTCCATTCACCTTCCTCAGCTGTCTTTCTGTCTGTTATCCACCAGGTTCGAGTCTCTCCTAATCTGCTACAATCTATTTTTAAATTTAAAATGTTTGCCAGTCTTTTTTCCCAAAGCCACTGAAGAAAGATTAGTCACCTAGCAAGCAGGAAACCAAACTGCTCAGCTGACCCCTGTTCAGTGGAACATAACAGACATAAATTAAGGTAGATACACAGACGTGCTTACAGAGGCAAGGGCAACAACTCCTAAGCAAACATTATTTGAGATCGTTTTATACAGTGATACTAAAATTTCTTCTTCTTCACTCACTGCTGCATTTCAATTCTGAAGCAGCTGCCTGTCTGCCCCTGGTTTCACTTTGACCAGGTACTGGTTCCAGTCAGGGCCTCAGGCTACGAGATTAAAGATCTCCTTTTGTATATTTCCTGAAATATATTTCCTATATTTCGGTAGATGGGTCCTGATGGGAAAGTGAGCATGTCGAGGTAATTCACAGCTTTTCCATCAAAAACAGAGGAAAGTGAGACCTTCATGTCCATACGGTTAGAGGTTAATAAATCAGTTGTAGCTGATTGGTTACAACTGTTTCCCCACCATTCTCCCACAGTTCTTAAATCCAGGAGTTGAAATAGTTCATATATAGCTGTTCACAGATCCAGAGGTTTGTTTAATGATTATGTTGTTCTTCATAATCTGTCATTTGCCAAAGATTCCCACAGAAGGCCACAATTTACTATTTTTTGAAAGATCTCTGCAGCTGCTGTGCAACCTAATTTGCGAACACAAGCATTGCAAACATCAAAGCCTTCTGTAGAGTGGAGTTTCTTGGCAAGCTCTATTTTGCAGTTATTGTTTCACATATCAATAATTGCTGTCAGTAGCTCCTACAGTAAGTTTGAGTACCTGCTAAGGATGCTGCCATAGCACAGTCTCATGAGAAGAAACAATTGTAATTTTGCAATTGCACAAATGCATCCTTTTGAAAAGGTTGTATACATGCCTAGGAGTATGTAGTGGAAAACTTTCATATTACTATTTTATAGTTGAAGACTGGAGAGAACTGCAACTGTTTAACTATGAATTATCATTGTACTTTATGAATGCTTTTGTCATGGATGAAAATCTTCACAGAAAACCAAATGTTCAAAGCTTGTTGTCCTGGAGACTTGCTGTGCTTCTAAAGGCAAAGATTTTTTTTTTTTAAATATACATAAATTAAAAAGCAGAAAAATTTAAGACTGCTTACACATACATGTAGTTGAACTAAGATTCAAATGTCACTCTGTACTTCCAGGGTTATTTCAGCTGTGGGCTATTGTGTTGAGTTTAGCTTTTTCTGATAGGAAAATTATATTCTAGGCCTGGTGTTTATGCTTGCTTTTAAAGGATTAAATTCAAGCTGCAGTTGTAGGGGTGAAAGTCACCTGGCCTTTTTTCACATTTAATTAATTAGAATTGAACCCTGAGGGTAAAACTTATTAATGAAATGTAAATGTAAAATTATGCTACTCTGGAAAAACAAATGTGGTGTGCCAAGAAATCCATTAGCTGAGTTTCTTATTTTCTCCTTAAACCCATTGTAGTCAAGGGACATTAAGAGGGAAGCAGGCCTGGACAGAGGACTTTGAATTACAATCCTGTAGGAACTGTTGTTTCCAGCTGTCATTATGTAGCCTCACCCTGTTTTCACATAGTTTTTGTTTCCTTCTTTGTTTTAGGGGATGGTGAAGATGAGAAGAAAAAATGGGTGAAGACACAAATCCACAAGTGTTTGGATACACAGTGGGTTATCCTATTTCTTATTTTAATCTGTACCATTCGTCTTTGTGTTGGGTCTGTCTGAGCTGGAGTCACCTTTTCCCTGCAGCAGCCCACATGGTGCTGTACTCTGCACTCGTAGCTAGAACAGCACTGATATCACTCCAGTGTTGTGTCTATTGCTGCATAGTGCTGGCACAGCATCAGGACTCCTTCCAAGCCCCCAAGAGCCAGCAGGCTGGGGGTGGGCAAGTGATGGGGAGGGGACATTGCCGGGGCAGCTGACCTAAACCAACCAAAGGGATATTCCATAACACCCGATGTCACACTCAGCAATAAAAGGGGGGGCTCTCGTGGGGGAGGGGGCTGTTCCTCCTGAACAACCACTACGCGTTTTGAGGCCGTGCTTCCCAGGACGTGGCCGAACACCGCTCACTGATGGGAAATAGAGAATAATTTTTCTCTCTCTGTGCTTCCGCGTGGACTGATTGTTTCTTTTGTATCTGTTTTTCCTTCCCATTCCCTTTCCTTTTAATTAAACCTTTCTCATCTCAAACCTCGAGTTCTCTGTGTTGTATTTTCTCCCCCTTCCTTCTGAGGAGAGGGGGAGTGAGAGAGTGGTTGTGGTGGAGCTCGGCTGCCCACCTGAGTAAAACCACCACAGTCTTTCAAAATAGTTTTCCAAGGTTGTGTACATACATAACATAGTTAACATAGAATAAATCTGAGACCTGAGACTACCACCCTGACAAAAAGAGAGAGAATTTACATGGACTAACAAGAATTTTAAATTTGAACTCTCAGCTTTGTTAATATGGTGGATTTTAAAGACTCCTTCTCATTCATGTGCTGCTTCTGAAGAAATTTTCTTAACAAATGGCATAATGAAAGATGATATTTTTGGTGCCCTTGATACTAAAGCAACTTTGATGCTCCAGTATAAAAAATATTGCTCTAGTTCCAACATATCTTTGAATTGTCTATTTGACAGTCTGTGGTGCTTCATCTAGTTTCACTGGAAAAAAATAATCTTTGACATATTATAGATATTTCTTTTCTAAATTAAATTCAATTTATCATTGTGTCACCCATTTTCATGTTGTCAAATACATTTTTTTTTTCTTTTTTTTAATGTTTAACAATGCAGGGTGTTGTTTTCCCTACCTATTCAACTAACAATGTGCATCTTTAAATTTAGACTCTCTTATATCTGTCTGAAAAAACTTGAACCATACTAGCTAATTCTCCACCTCTAGTACAAAATATTATTATTACTTTCTCATCATTCTTCGGAACTCTTTAAATTCCAGTTTGAGTATTTTGGGAAAAATCTAGAGAAAACACACTGCATGTTTGTCTGGAATTATGTTACGGGGTTTCTCTTTAATACCAACCAGTATGCTGATTTGTTGCTATTAAGTTTTCAGTCTGCAAGCATACATTTCTTCCAACAAAATCTTTGTAACTTGAATCCATTTAAAAAAAAAAAAATCATGCCTACCAAGTTTTGATCTATTTTTCTTGATCTTTTATATGTATTATTAAAAAAGTTAATTTTGTGATACCAAATCTATTTTTGATTATATGGAAATTAACTTCAAAAAATGAGTGGATATATTGCTGCAGAAAGGGTTGCGTCACTGTGATAAGGGAAGCCTGTGCTCTATCTGCAGTGTGTGGGTAGGGGAAGCTTCCTTTATCATCCCAGCAACAGTCTTAGTCCTGAAGAGGAGGTGCTGGCTTTTCTCAGAGATTAGCAGCTTCGTGTTTCAGCCAAGGCTATTTTTGCCCTGCATTCTGCTAGTAAGGAAAAAGAGTGTGATTGTGTAAAAGATTTAAGCAGGAGCTAATATATCTTTAGTTTGACACTTGGCACCTTTAAATGTTGTTCTTGAAAGCTGTCAACCAAGAGTTTTCATACTTAGAATCTGGTTTGATGTCAGCAGGAGTCACTGATGGAATCCATCCACTGATGGAAGTACGTTTGATGATTTCATGTCTCTTACTAACTCGCTTTATGAAAAGCCTGAAAACGTTCTATGATTTTTCACAACTGTGCTCTCAAGGGTACCAAAAATGAAATAGCTGATTGATGGGTTTTACTCCCAGTCATGGTAGCTGAAAACTGATGAGTGCCCTCTGTTTACATACGTAAAAGACCAGATCACTTAGAAGCTGTATAAGGGCTTCAAGAGGATCCTAAATGAATTATGGCTTTTACAGGGCAGAAAACTTAATGCAGAATTAATTTAAGTCAAGATTATCATCTACTGATTTTGGTAATCTCTGGTAAACTTCATTAGCAAAAAAAAAAAAAAAACACAACCTGTCCTGCACTACTTTATTTGAAGTTAATATTTTAAACTGTAAATAAGTCAATTAAAATAGACTACCAAGGTAACTGATAAAGTGTTTAGAAGAAAGAAAAAAACAAAGGAATTAAATTTTAAAATTATGCATAAATGCCTGGCTTGGATGAGATACAGACATACAGATTCACATGGCAGAAGCTGCGGAGGAAGAGATGTTTGCACCAACAGTGACCAGATTGTGTGCACATACTGCTTTAGAAAAACAGAAACTGAGGACTCCCTTAAAGACCCTTTTTAACAGGAATGAGTTTTTGTAGCACAGCAGCTCTTGATATACTAGACCTTTAATTTAAGACACAGTCATGATGGACAGTTAAAATGGGCAGTGATAATTTTATGTAATCTTGGCAGCTTTTTGCCTTAAACTGTGTTGTTATTTCTGAGTCAGTGACTGAATAATGCTCGGTTCCTTAAAGAATATCACTGTATCTTCTAAAACAATTCTCTATTCTCCTAGGTAAGCTGAACCCACAGTTTGTGTGTCTGGGCTTGCTGAGGTCAGTGGTGAGCATGGTTCATATTTATTTGTGCTGAAGCTTCAAAGTTAATTTTATTCCAATGTGTTTACAGCTGACATATTTTTGAAGCCACAGGAACATTTTAAAAGATGATGTTTTCTCCTTCGTGCAATTTAGTTTTTTTTTCCTTTTTTTTTTTTTAATTTTTTTTTCCCAGCTCACAGTTCTTCCACCAGCTCTACTTATGCGCTCATGAGTAATCTTCACCGTTTTGAGAGAAGTGCCTTCCACCAAGAGTACGGACTGTGAGCAGAAGTACAAAAATGGAAGCTTAAAGCTGGAACAAATCAGACAATAGCAGCTGCATGCAGATGAGCGGCCACAGCCTTTGAAAACATGAGAAACAAGGAGGCCGTGCAGGGACAAGTAAGTATTTGAAAGCATGCCAGTTCTTCTCTGATGTACCAAGTACTAAATGTGCACTGCTGAAGCAGAGCTGATTTTTAGGTGTTGCTTTGAGCCATCACAAATTTTCAGAAGCAGGACAGCTTGACTTGCATCTTGTTTGTTTAGACACATGCCAATGGCTTTAGTTGTTTTCCTATACATTATAAGAGTGTAGAGAAAAAGGTTTCTATTTTGCCACAATCTCTAGTCATATTTTAGTTTCTATTTTGCCACAATCTCTAGTCATATTTTAGGTCATGGTTTCTACTGATATTAGAGGTTTGTTTTCCTGTCAGCAATTCTAAGGATCAGAAAACTCACAGATATTGCACTGAACTAATTTTGTTTTATATTTTGAAAGGAAAGATGGTAAAAAGAAGGAAAAAACTGCAGAACTGTAGTTGCTTTTCTCTTTCTCTCTTCCTTTCTCTCTTCCTTTCTTTTCTTTTTTTCCTTCTGTACATAATGAAATGTACAAACAGTAGAACAATTACATGTCTTTCAAAGAATGATGTCTCCATAAAATTCTACTCTGGGACATGGGGTATATGTTGTTGATTCCTTTTACATAAGTTGGGTTGTTGGCCAAATCAGTTTTTTTGGACGCGAAGGTGCTGTAAATGTGCGTGTATACACATGTACATAGTGTATACGCGTACATATATACGTGCATATACGTGGACACAAACAGTCCTTAGAAATTCTGAGACACATCCAGGAATGCATGTTATGCATGTAGAGACAGTAATAAAGGATTTTTTTAATTTTTAATAGTAGAAGATACCTGCTCCTCTTCTTCATAAGGAGATTGTTACGAATGAAAAATACTTCAAAATAATGTTTTCCTATTGTCATTTGTAGTACTAAAAGGGTTGAGAAAGATGATAAGAGTGTATTGGTTCTGAGAAAACAGCTGTGCTGCTGTAGTATAAAAGGAATCAGTTCACTAATTTTAAAGAGAAATCCAGTTTATTACTGGAATAAACTGAGGAGGGAAAAATGGGATAGCAAAGTTGCAGGTCGCTACTAAAAACTGATGCAAACTCTAGTTAGTACAAACCTCCACAAGAACTAGAATTTTGGATTTGAAAAAGTCTCAAGCCCATTTTAAGGGCATATTTGTCAACTATCTGTTTTACATTTTAAATTCTGTTTAACAGTGTCCAATGGAAAGACCATTTATCAGAAAATAAGCTTGTATGCTGCAGTTGTACATCTGGTAATTGACTAGCAGTGACTGAGAGTTTTCTGCATAAGGTATGTTAAATTTTCTGATAACTAATGATATCTATTTAAGTCGTGCATGGGCATTTCTTGCAGCGTTTCTAGAGGAGACAAAGTCCCTTCTCTTTTAGAAGGCAGTGTTGACGGGAGGCTGATGTGATTGTTATTGTCATGTGTTTCTTCAGTAGAGGGACAGAAGTGATGTTACTGCATATGTTTGTAAGCAAGACTTAGTTTCAGTTTGCATCACAGTTGTTTGTATAGAGCCTCTGGAAGCTGGTGTTTAACTTAAGATATTTTATGGGTTAAATGTTCCTTGGGTAGCAATATAGCAGCTGTTTTTATAGGACTTAGAAGTCCATTAGATAGGCTAAAGCTATACTGGAATACACTTGAACTATTTTAGGTATCAGTAGCACTTGAAATTTTATCCTTCTATAGTTATTGAAGGTATTCAGTACTTTAAAGTGTATTTTATTTTATTTTATTTTATTTTATTTATTTTATTTTATTTTATTTTATTTTATTTTGGTTCTGCTATATAATGAAGACTCAAATAGAAGACTGAAAAGACTGAAAGACTGAAAGACTTTCAGACTGAAGACTGAAAAAATATTTTATTTCATTTCTCCTGAAATCCTAAGTTCAAAGATCATTGTTGCCTTTTTCTAGCTCTGACATCCTCTTTCTATGGTTTCTGAGAAGCCTAGGGTACAGTGGTGCATTATTGCATGCAGTGTGCTACAATAAAGCCCCAGAAGAAAAAGAAATGTCATAGCTGCTGACAATCATGAGGACTTGTTGCTGCCATGCCTCAGAAGTTTGTGCTGCATTGCACTGTACCTGAGCAGTGTCTCCTGTGAGGAAACAGGAAACAAGAGCTAAAGATAGTAGAACAAAAACTGATGACTAAATAAAATTAAGAATACGAAGTGCATGCTAAATACCAAATTGAATTAAATTTAGATTAAAAAATGTACATATCAGTAATTTACATGTTTATAAACTAGATTAAAATTAAAAGAACTCAGAAGTTAACAAGAGACAGAGAAGTCCAAAAAAGCCTTAATGTTCTTTGATTATTTATTATCATGTTATCTTTTTATTACCTCTGTTTATTACCACGTTCTAACAGAATCTGTTAGACTAATATAGAAGAACCTGGAGTGCATGCTCAACAGAAAAGCATGATAGATTTCTTGAGATTTGATTTACAAGGACTGTTGAAACAATACGTATATACATTTTAATGAAGTAAAATAACATTTTCCAGATGTTTTATTGAAAAAACATTCAGATGTAAAATAAATCAATAGACTATGTAATAAAATCAAGCTCTGTAAAGCAAAGAAAAACAAAACCAGTCTCTCTAACAGCATAGTCTCTTACGGTCTTTTATTTTAAAATAATAAATGCACCAAAGTGAAATATTTATGGCTTAGGTGTCTAAAACTAATCCCCAAGCATTGCCTGTTGGCTTGCTGCGGTCAAGACAGATATGCTTTGGCTTTATGTCCCTCTTGATATTTGTCCTTTCTTGGTGATAAAAGAACAAATGATAGCATGCATGAAAGCCAGCTATATTTACAGAACAAATCTGGGGATCCAAAGGCTGGTGCTGTAGTTTGCAATGATTTTAAAAAAACAATAAGGGAACTTAGAAGCTTCTGTTTAGGTATGGAAAAATCCAGCCTGTCAACTTCCAGCAGTTATTGACCTTTTCTGTTAACCATTGTCTAGAGCAATCATTTTTCTCTACTCCTAAATTATCCATGAGTCTTCACATTCTTTTTTTTTTTTCCCATCATTTTTTTTTTACTGTTGTTTTTACATTATTTTACCATGCAGTAGAATACCAAGTTCACAGAAACCAACATGCAGTAAAACAAAATAAAACAATCCCTCACCTAAGAACAGACATCCCTCTCTCTCTCCTGTGTATGTTTATACATGTATACATTGATATATACATATTTAATACGTATATATATATCTCTGACTACCATGGTCTCTTTTTGTTGTGGTTCATAATGGCCCTTCTGGGCAAGCTTTCTACAGACCACAACAAATGCGTATTTTGGCATTTTTATAAGTGTAGTGGTTGCAGTTGTAGACTAAGAGAACATGGGCTGGGACTAGTTGTTTTCTTTATGCCTTTTTGCTCCTATTTGGCCATCCAGACCAACAAGAATTTTTGAAAATTTTTGGAGAAAAAAAATATCTTGAAAACCAAGTATTTTATTTGCAAGAACTCTGGTTTGTCTAGAAAGAGGGACTTTTGCATTATCAAATTTAACGCTGATCAGACAGACTTGCTGAGAAAACAAGCCAAAAGAAGAGCTTATAATTAACTCTCTTTTTCCCCCCCCCTCTCTTACTGTCCTGTAACTTCTTTCTTGATTGCAGTTGTCACAATTGAATATTATCATAATGTAAGTTATGAAGCTTACCTGGTATTGCTAGCGCTGAGGCCATCTGCAAAGCTTGACCAGAGATCTGAGTTATAGAATTCCATTACCTTTATTTTACATCTAAGATGTCTACTCTCTCATGGTATTTGAGTTTTGTTTTGTTTTGTTTTCTGTCTGTTATTTGTTGTACTTTCAAAATTTGTCATTCTTTCCATTTCTGTTCTTCAGATGTTCAACATAGGATATCTCTGGCCATTCCCAGTACATCTAGGTTACATGACAGTTCAAGCACATGCTAAAGTTGTGGGACGGGACTCGAGATTTGTCCTCTTCCATACTCAGGGTTGCAAAGTTACTTGCAATGTTATATAAAGATGTGGTTGAATGCAAGTCCACTCACTTCTTGATTGAAAATGTCAGTTTCAATCTAAGCTAACGTTATTTCTACTGTTTGATCCATAAGTGGAAAACGTCAGAAACAGTGGGACCCAGCTGTGTCCCTTTTCTCATTTATGTCAGTAATGTTGCTGCTTGTGTTCTTTCAGAACATGCAAGCCATTTATAACCAGATAGATTGCTCTTACGCAGTATTTTAACATCTTCATAAATATAATGATTACAGTTGTAGATTAAGAAGAAAACATGGATGGGGCAGCTGTCTCAGTTGTGCATAATTAGATTTTTATACATGCTGTTAGTATAAATGTGAACAACCACTCATTTTTGAGACAAGGAACAGAATGCATTAAATACTGTGTGACAGGCTCAAGGTTGCAGAACTATGCTGTATTAGCAAGCCTGGTGCTGCTTCTTTTAACTCTAGTTCTTAGAACAAATGCACTGGTGACTTTTGCTGTTGTTCATTTTAAGCCCCTTCTTAAATCAGATCCAGTCTCTATGCCCCCAATTTATTTATTTATTTAATGTTCTACTGCTGTCTTACTTCAATGCTTGCTACCCAGTTGGAATACTTGTGTTTGAATTTAAAAAGAGAGATACAGTGACCTACAGACTATACAGAATCCTATTTATTCCAAGTGTTGGACTGTAGAAAAACATTCTATTTGACCTTCCATTATTGAGTTCAAATATCATATGCAGAACTAATGTTTGTACAGATTTAATATCAGAAATGCATTCTTTAATATCATCATTATTTAGTATTCCACAATTTTATTCCTAGTCCTTTCAATGCTCAGAGAAGAATAAATGTTACTTAAAGGAATTAGAAGTGTTGGCACAGTTGAGTAGCTTCACATTTAAAGTATGAGGAAACAAATGAGGTCTCTGCATCATTAAATTCTACTTTTAGTCGAATCATTCAGTTCAAAATTAAATGCTCTACTGCTGTAACAATTTTCAGACATTTTAGCAGGTGTAGTCTAACAAAACTATTATTGGTTGATAGCATTGTGATATAGGAACTATAAACTTTCATAGTCAGAAATGTTCCTGTTTTATAGGTTTTGTCAATACTCTTTTTTTTTTTTTTTTTCTCCCTGCCTAGTTTTCATAACAATTTCAATAAGAGATTAAAAGTCCTGGTTTGTAGATTTCTCCTTTCCTTTTTATTATAATATATCTTTTAAATAGCCACTCCTGAAACTAAATCAGCACTTGGCAGTTATTATTATTTTCCTAATAATGACTACTTGGCAGTAGCCATTATTAGGAAATTAAAAGGGAAAAAAAAAGAACTTAGAACTAGGACTGGATATTTCAGAGCATTATTAGTCTGATGAGGTCAGACCTGTGAATATCTAGGGCCAGATTTTAAAATTTCACTTTGAATTTTTCCTCAGGTCTGCTTTTCTCCAGCTGGAAAGAGCTCTTTTCTCCAGCTCTCTGGAGGAGCTGGCTGCTGGTTGGTTTGGGGATTTTTTGTCCTTTATTCATTCTTTGTCCTTTATTCATTTTAGAAAGTGGACTGTATTTTGCAATGAGTAGTTCTTTTCCAGATGAGTGCGCTAAATGCAAAAACAACCATTCATATCTGTGGCTATTTATCACTATTGAGCAGAAGACTTTTTTATTGGTTAGGGAATCGTAACTTTCTCTTTAAGGAGGCATGAAGCACAAATATTTTTCTTAAAATAACAAATTTATGATTTACTATATCTTTATCATGCAAGGTCTCCTGAAACACAGGCATGTCTATTTTCTAACAGGCTTTCTATTTTCTAACTGCAATTTATCACTCTTGTGATGCAAAAAAAAAAGGAATTTTATAACTTTAAATATCAAACAGATATTACTTATTTCAGCTACTTACAGGCGAGAAGTAATAGCTGCTCAATTAGATATTGATACCAAAGTTCATTAATCACATGAAAAGATAGATCATCATAATAGCACACCAATTTATCTTATGTCTGCCATCATAAATAGCCTGACAGAAGTTAACTAAGCAAATATTTGATTGCTATGTTTTCACGGTTGCTAGATTACCATAATAGCATTGAACAAGAAAATATGTAGCAAAAAGATTTACAAAAACAAAAACTTTTTTTTTTTTTTCTGGAAAAAAGACACAACAGCAATCATTTACACTCATTTTTTTTCATATTTATAGCTGAATAAGAAAAAACCTTTGAAGCTAAACCATGTGCAATACCCATACCG